TTATGTCTTGATCACAAAAAGGGTAATTTGACGAATTCAAATACACCGTCTACACATATGCAAAGTTGGTCTCGAAAGACAAAAAATCACGTCATCTCTTCCAATGTCTATGGCCTAATTAAGTCATCTAGTCCGATGATTTTTGGGAGTAGTCCACGTGTTTTTGTTTGGCGAGTTGGGTGGACTAGCAGTCTATAAATACCCCAGATTAGGCCTAGTTTCATCAAGTTTTTTTGAAAATGAGACTGATAATTCTATTCGGGTTAGTTGCTCTTATTGCTACCGTATTCTCTGCTCCCAACCCGGGAACGGGAAAAGAGCATCAAGTTGCTGAGGCCTGGAGCCCGGATCATGGACCATTTGGAGCCGCGAAGGATGGAGGTGTTGATGAGTGAGTTCACACAGAATTCTTAATCCAAAACCCAAACCAAACCTATTCCAGAGTGGATCACTCTCGCTCGAAACGATGGGGCGGTTGGGGATGGGGCCGCCCGTGGGGAATGGGATGGGGACGCCCGTGGGGCGGATATGGATGGCGCCGTCCGTGGGGAATGGGCGGATGGGGAGGATACGGTGGATACGGATGGGGACGTTAAGCTGATTTCTGATTCATTCGATGTGCATCAACGACCAATTTTTGTAACAAAGCTTTCATGAATAACAGTGTAATTCCTTATGTTGTATCAACATAGTCTTGTCTTTTTGTACATAAATTTGTTTTTTTCTCTCAATTTTCTTGTTCTTGCATTTTGGATCAGAATTCAAAAATTAAAGTCTGTACAAAACTTCAGTTTTCCACTGGAGTTAGGAAGCTCAAAGGAATTATTACTGTAAGACCGTGTAACTGTTGCACTAATTATTCAGAACAGCATATCTCAGTTGTCATTAAAGCTATCAAAATGTGGTCAACCAGAGAAATTTTCGCTGGTACATTTTGAACAGTTTAATAGCTGATCACATCTTGATAACTCTGAAGGCAACCGAAATATACTGCTTTGAACACGTTGTTCTACGTGAACTTCTACCGTAACTCCGTAATAGAGGAACATTTAGTACTGATTGTTCGGAACAGCATACCTCAGCTGTCTTTAGAACTATCAAAATGTCTACAACTAGCAAAATGTTAAAATTGTGTTGGTGAATATTTCTTTAGTTGACTACATGTTTGTAACTCTAAAGGCAACCGAGATATACTGCTTCGAAAATGTAGTACAAGGTGCACCTTTATTATAGAATTTACGGTAGTACTTGTTCAAAATTTTGTTTTATTGTTGCTGTCTACTAGATAAATTAGAAATTCAGAGATCAGAACAAGCAGTAAGTAATTTCACTCTCAGAAACTCATTTAATACTTTTGTAATTGAAAGAAAAAACTCAACCTAGAAGATCCATTTTTCAGAATAGTGTTGTAATTTAAAAAAATTCAAAAATGCGCCCCCCCCCCCCCAAACGGAATCATAAAAAAACACAATTAAGAGAAAATCAGTAAATATTCATTTCGGCAAGTAAAGTATAAAAACCGTTTTATCCTCCAATCATTTTGAGTCCCTCATCAAGAAACGAGTGAATACTGTTAATTGAAAGTGATTTATCATCCTCCTCCAATCTATCTTCCAGTGAATTGATTCGGTTCCGGATATCTTCTAATTCTGGAGTATTTACACGATTAACTAGATTTTTGAGTCCTTGTAAAAAGTTATGTTTAGTGCTAAGCGGTGTTGTAGAACTCGCTGTTGGATCCATCGCATTCCCGTTACTCGAGGAAGCAAGATTCGATGATTTCAATTCTTGAATCAATTTTCTATTTGATGCCAAGACAGTTTCAGAGATCACTTCTTTCAATGAATCCATAAATGGTCCCGAAACCAAATCTTCCACATTCATCACATTATTCGATTCCGTCGATTTCCGTCTCGTTTTCTTCGGCGTAGAAAAATCCAACGAATTCAGTTCCCTTTTTGGTCTTTTTAGTTCTATTGGTGAGGATGTGGCCAGTGATAATAGCACTTCTGAAGATGTTGTCGGCATAGACATCATGTTTTTCCAGGAAAAATCATTTTTCCATGAGAAATCTTCAATGTATCCATTGGCATCGAAAATCAGATTCATTGTCGGCAGCAAACTGAAATTTGTATAATTTTCATGTGGTTATTGAATTTTTACAAATGAACACAAGCATTAAAATATGCTACTGCGCTTGACAATATTATGGCAATCAGTGTGAGAGCAAGTGCTGGCCGAAGATCCGACAACTTGACATCAATCAATTTTGATCGATTTTCAACGATTTTTTTTCTTAGGAAGAGCTAGAAAGATTGCTGAAAATCGATGAACCTTACAGTAGCAGTCAAATTCATACGATAGTTTTCGTGGTGACATATCGGGGCCGTAGGTTGTCGGTTCTACGGCCAGCAATTGCTTTTACACTGATTGCTATAATACCAGTCGGTGGCGCCGCCTAACGGCGGCTCACCTCCTTTCTTTCGTCGCTGCGCTCCTCAAAGGCTCGCGGCTTCGCCGCTCGCTGCTCAATCCCAAAACTGATTCATCACTTTTTAAATTTTCAAATTTTTGGGCGGAGGACTGAGATGTTGGAGCAACAAAAAATGTCTCTAGTCTCTCGGGTGCGGAACTTGCTCTGCTTGGACCCGTTTGATTCAAGCCCGATTCATCTCTCCAGGCTCAATAGATCTGCCTAGGCTTGATTTTTTTGTTTGGCCTGCTTAGGCGCGTTCCATTTACTGAAGCACAACTTTCTGTTTGGCTTAGTTAGTCTCTACTCTGCCTATTCGGCTTTGTTTAAACCAATTTTTTGTGGTCTGCTCACACCCGCTTTGTTGAAATCGGTCTACTTGAGCCCTTTCCAGCATTTATAGACGAATTCTTGCGATGTTTCAAAAATATTCAAAAAATTTGGCTACGCTAAGGAACCGAACCTAGTTGACGACCGTTACATCTGTTGCTTCACTGCACTTATCGCTGTACAAATAGTTCAAACTTTGTCGTTTCCAAAATTTTCTTTCATATTCTTTCTCCTCGCATTGAGAGGATTCAAATGATGGGGGTTTCACCTCTTTTATTCCTACCCATTTTAACCTCGGGTAATGTTCAAGCGAAGGTCATGCAAATGCGCAGCCGACACCTCCCGGGTTCCGCCGCCCGCAATGTTTTGCGTGGGAGGAGACTCCGCCCTCTCTCTGCCGTTCTGAGCCCTATCTTAGCAGAGAGCTCCACAGAGCTCCAAATGAAAAATGAAAAATATGGGCATCATCGCGGGGTAATTCTCTATCGAAATATGAAAAAATCATGAAAATCGGTCCAGTGAGAGGGGCGCTAGCGTGCGGCACATGCCCACAGACACACAGAAAGCGGTGATTGTTAATAGTAAAGATATTTTTCAGCACGGTAAATTTTTTTGTACGTACAATTTTTTTTCTCGGTTTCTACGCTCCATCTCACACAGGCTTTTACAAATTTCATTGTGCGTCTTTAAATTCTGACAGTAAGCCGCGCTTAAGCCGAAGGAGCGCGCACCATGTTTCCAAAGCATTTTTCAGTAATAAATTTCGATCGAATTCTGTTAATATTGTATTCAACATGATGCGAAGAAAAAGTTCTATCCAATTTAATTCAAAAAAAGCTTAGGCCCTGATTTTTATTTTTTCAACAAATTGAGGCAAATGACTACGTATCGCATGAGTCGCGCCGCAGTGGCATGCGACCATACAGTAAGATAGAGCCCGCGAATGAAACCTTTTGAAAACGCGTACAAAAAATTCACCGTGTTTCAGTAGAAATTTCAATAATTCGACACAGTAACCTCGCTCAGAAATTTGTTCAAATTCAGGCGTTTCGTTTCTCAGCAAAGCGCATTTGCATATAACCAACCTCTGCTTGAACTCCTCATTCAAAAGAATATTAAACTTCTTTGCTATTTGCAATTTCGTCTCAACATTGTAGGTGGTCAAATGCAGATTTGGTGCCAGAATATTCCGGAATCTAAATTCGGTTAAAATTTCAGATTCATAAAATTTCAACCAACCTATAATACAAGCTCTTATCCACATGCTCATAACCCAACGATTCCTTCATTTTTGTGAAAATCTCAAATGGGCCGTAGATCAAATAGTTCTCAGCGATGAAATTCCACATTTTGGGATCATCTTCCGGTGTGAACATCATTTTTTGTCTTCTGAATTTTCAATTTTGAATTTGAAAAAAAAAATATTTTCTTGAATTACTCACTTCCTTTGAATGCATTGTGCCTGCCCAAACTGCAGATTATCCCAGGCTTTTGAATTTTCCATATTATACATCCTATTGTGTTTGTTATCAGAATTCACATCTATAGGTAGACACCCCACGAGACCTTAGAAAAATAAATCAATTTGATGATTCGGAAATAATATTTCAATGCAGTTATTCACCAACAAAAAAAAGGAATTTTCATTCAATTTCTCGCTTATGAATAACCACAGAAAAAGTCGTTAAGACGGCGTCTTAAGAAAAGTTATTGATTTTTTGAGAAGTTATTCTTTTCCGAAAATCTTCGCTTTATAGCGTTGAATTACTCTTACAATTTCTCTGGTACGTTGAAAAATAAACACGATTCCACAAAAAAAACTTTCAAATAACCACCACTTTGTGAAGAATACGATGCTCCAATCTATAATAGCATCGCACGTAAAAATACAACTTTTGAACATTGCAAGCGCGCTCTTTCGCACAGGGAAAAGTGCGGAAGTTTGAAGAATAGCGACTTGCAAAAACCACTTATGAGGCTGGAAAATTAGGCAAATACTCAACTGCTATGAAAACTATTGCTATTTTCGCCACTTTTGATGTCTCAATTGCTATGGCTATAGCAGCTGATCTATAGGCTATAGCAGTTGATCACCCCCATAGCAGTTGAGTATTTGCTGCATAAACTGCTTATGAGGCTAGAAAACTATCCAAACCGCGTATGCTTCTGTAGGCTTTCTCCTATCTTTCCCGATTCGGACCACTTGGCCTAGTGGTTAGCGCTTTTGCTTCCCAGTATTATGAGGCGAGTTCGATTCCGGCAGAGGTCGATTTTTTTTTAAATTTTTTTGGAAAAGCAATTTCTGTTTAAAAATCAGTTTTACTTCATTTCGAAAAAAAATAGGCACCAAGAGGTGAGAAGATCAAGTGACACGCAAAAAAGAATACAATGAAATATAGTTGTGAGAACAAGGAATTTAAAATTCAAACATCCGCCAAATCCTTCTGCCCGAAGAAGTTTCCAATGATTGTGATGAATAGGGAGTACTCGTCGGCTTCCGACTTTCTATCTGGAGTTAACTGGGAGCGAAGTTTTCTGCAATCTTTCAGAAGTGTGCGGAGCGCCGATACGACATCCTGAACGAGGGGCAAGTCGATGACGAGTAGAAGTACGTAAATCCATTCACGGATCGGACGACTGAGGCCTTCCTCTTCCGACCAATCGATGAGATACTCGATGAGTTGGCTGAGCTGAAAGGGGAACGGTAGAATTTTTTTGACCATGCGCCTTTAAACTTACATGTTTCTTTGGAATAGCGAAAACCATTTGCCACGAGGGCGGTGTGCCCGTATGATTCGGGAATTTGTCGACGACATTTTGAAATTGTGGCAGACATTTCTCCAACAGAATCTCGTGCCAATTTTCTTCCTGGGGCTGAAAACCGAAAGGATAAAAATCAATAAAATTCAGATAACGAACCGCCCGTAATTCCTTAATAATCATCGGCTTTGTTGTGGCGATTTTGGCGGCAGTTTCAGCGCGAAACTCTCCGAATTGACGACACCTTTTGACTCGCCACTCTTCAGATGGTACTAGCGTGGAGATATTTTTCTTCGTCGTCACATCCTCCTCCTTCTGATATCCGACACTTTCCAGCCACTGTTTCTTCTTCTTTTTCGCTTCCGGTGAGGCACTTCGCTCGTTTCTGGCGACTCTCACCACATTCGCTGCCGCTTTTCGTTCTGCTTTCATTTGTCTGAAATAGGCGGCCGCTGACATTGCAGGTGCATTGGGATCGGCATCGACGTCTTCTAGATCGGTGGTGTCCGGGCCGAGACACGCTTCTTGGTCCATTGTTTTGTGATGGGGATGTACTAGAATTAGATGAATTCGAAATTTTCGAAACAAATAATAGAGACATTGCGCTGGTAGTGAAGACGCAGCGTTTCACTCTCTGCGTCTCTACCTAAAGGCAGCGCTCTCCATCGAAATCCGCAGAAATATTCAAGAAACTGACACAAGTTCAACAGTTTTCCAAGGAATACAACCACGAGTATAAATAAGGATTTTTTAATTCCAAAAAAATCAATAAATTAGTTTTGTAAACAAATCTATAAACTATATACACTGTCCTGTCACCTGGGCGAAAATCTAATGAGAAAATGACCAAAATTCGGGAAAAAAAAACGGAAAAAAGTGAGATCGCAATCGGGAATTATAAGTTAAAAAATAAAATAAAAAATCATCGGAAATTAGCCGGAAACACCATTGGAACCACAGAAAACGGCAAAAGTGGAGTAGATCGATCCAGTTGAGAAGCGGCAGTGAGGCATTCCGTCGCTCGTTCCGAATCGCCACGTTTCATCAGTGAGCACCCGAGTTGTTGCCACCATTCACAGTTCAAAGGATCGACACGTACCATTTCTCTGAAAAAAAAATAACTGAAAATAGAATTTCCTGCGAATTTCTGTACCTCAACATGTGCTCCGCCATCTTCTGATTTCCCTCCTCCTCATACAATTTGGCGAGCGCCGCCATAGATGGAAAGTGTCCGGGAGCCAATGCCAACGCGGATAAGTACGCCGACTTGGCCTCTCCTCGAATCCGGGAGCTCAATTGATCATCTGACAGCTTTTGAGAGCGTGAGGCAAGAAGGCGACCCTGAAAACAACCAAAAACAGTTTAAAATTCAAAAAATGAAACCAGATTTTCACGTGTTATTATTTTCAAATTTCTTATCTATGATCCGAATCAATTCAATTTCCTGATGAACTTTTCTCGATCAGTTCACATTTTTCCACATAAATCGTCGTCGGATTTTGAGTTCAACAATAACGCGAATAGAAAGAAAAAGGAGAAGTTGGAGGAACACGGAATGGATAGATATTTTAAATTACGACAAATGTTCAGCGACTATTTGGATTTGAAGACTGGGGTAAGAATACGGAAGTTACTGTAGATCCGGATTTTTTTTAAAAACAGGAATCTACGAAAAATCCACCAACTCCGGTATACTATCCACCGATATCCACAATGACTGATGATGTCAAAAAACGACTATCCATCAAAAAAATCACTGAAGAAGAAGCCGAGGCGTTCGATGTGCCCCCAGAACATTTCCGTCCCGTTCTCATCCAGGAGCCGGCTTTCGAGCTCCGGTGGTACAATAAACCAGATGCCCTTGGTGGAAGGTTTCAAACAGATTCTGATGCAGAGGCTGCCTCGAAGCTCGCTCAAAAGCTATTGACCGTGTTTTTGAAGACAGAAATGCTGGAGTCGGCTACATTTAAGGTGAATTTTTTTCTAGTGAGCCACCGTAACCAGAGATGTTTTAGTACGACGATATCCGTGCAATCCGAGTATTCTTTATGGATGATCGTGAAATGGCCAACGATCGTCTGCTCTCAATTTTCGATAATATCCTTAGTGTGTCTATGAACAAGATGGGTCAATTCTCTGACAAAATCTCTGTCACCATTGATTACGAATTGAGAGCTTTTATGGCCGACCAGAAGCGAGCAAAGCGTCTTGTGCTGGAGGCGATGCTCAAATATCCGGAATACGTGCCCGATTCATGGGGTGGCGAGTCGGCGATTCTCAAGTGGAAGGAGATGAAAGAGGCGGATATTAGACGACGTGAAGCCGATGCCAAAGAAATGGTGGAGATGGAGAAGAAGGATCGAGAGGAGAAGTGCAAGAAGGAGGAGGAGAAGGTGAAGAACGAGGAAGAGAAGGCTAAAAAGGAGAAGGAACGTCAGGAAAAAGAGGAGAGAATTAAGGTGAGCTAGTAGTAGAATTCAAATTCCTGTATTTGAAAAGTTCAGAAGGAAGTCGAGGAAGCAGAACGGAAGAAGAAGGAAGAGAAGGAGAATCGTCGTCGAGAAGTTAAAAAGAATCGGGAGGAGCGAGCAGCGAACGCGGATCGAACTCGGAAAGACAAGAAGGATCTCGAGATGAAGACGGCGTTCGAGAAGGGAGTGAAGGATGTGTTGAATGTCGGAAAGAAGAAGAAGGAAGAGAAGAAAAAAAAGAAGATGTTGAACAAGAAGACAAACGAGACCACGGTAGCAATTTTTTCAGTGATAGAGTTTCAGACACAGCCGAATTTCAGAAAACCAAAGATGCGTCACATGAGGAAGGCATTCACTCTCCTAAAACTCCTCCACAGCCTCCCATCCTCACCCCTCCTCATCCACAATCTCCACAACCTCCTCCATCGGCTCAGCCTCCACATCACCTGGCGCCAGGGCAACACTCCCGTCACCCACATCAAACTCCGCCACGGAAAACGTTCAGTGTCGCTGGTGTCAGTCAATTTTTGAGTGGAAGGAAACGACGAGAGTCGTCGGCGGAGAAGCTGGGTGGAGCACCGGTGGAGCATAAGAAGAATAAAAGGAATCAGAAGAAGTAGAGGAACAATTGGGGTCAATCATAGACAAATAATGATAATCTTTTTGTGTCAAAAGTTTCTTTTTGACAAAGTTTTTTTTTTTGAGAAAATGTGTAGTACCTTCAAATAAAGAGCTTGTGGTGAGCTCGGGAACATTGTGATCGCCTGCTCAATGACTTTTGTCAAATCCGCGTGCCGCCCCTCGGCGATGTACAACTCTGCCAAGCACATCCAAACGTCTGCCTGTGTTCGAAACTTTGACCAAGCGTCACCGATTCCATTGTTCAGCGAATCGGAGGCGGTGGATGGTGCGGCGCCGGCTTCCGATGCGGCAGCTGTTCCGACGATCGATTCGGCGACTGGAACTAAAGACGTTTCGTGAACACTGTGCAGCATAGAATTACCTGATAAATCAATAGTGGATGTGTTAGAGGGAATGGCGCTGATAACCGGGATTCCAGTGGTTGGGAAGCTGGGAATCAGTGGGGTGCTGGCGAGTGGGGTGGAGAGTTCACGACCGAGGGATGGTGTTCCTGAAAAGACTGGGGCAAGGGGTTAGTGCCGTTGGAGTCATCAAGGCTCACCGGTTTTCTGACTTCCACCAATGATATCCGTTCCGTTTAGTGTCCGCTGCGACCTCTCCTCATCCAGAATACCTGCTGAATACGCCAGTTGTTGTTGTACAGGTTGCTTCTTCCAGAAATCCAGAAGATGTGTACACGTATCCAAAGACTCTTCGATTCTACCAAACTTTGTCTCAATATGCAACCGGAGCACCATAAGACCGTAGTTGTGCTCAAACTCGGTTAGAGCGTTGATAACCAGCTCCAGAGCGCCCTTCAAATCTCCGTAAGCAGTGAATATCAAGGCCAGAAGCATAATTGCTCCAGGTTGATCTCCATTCAGTGCCAAACTCCGCGAGCATCGATCCTTGGCGGATTCCAGATCTCTAGAGATTGCATGGAAGTACGCGGCATAGTAAAGAGCCAGATAGTCATGTGGATCGGAGGAGACACATTCTTCAATTAGTTGAACCGTTTTTGAGAGCTGTACTTTTTTGAGATCCCATGATGGCTCTTCGGAGGCGCGGAATCTATAAAACTTTGGGGTTTTTATGTGAAAATTGCAAAAAATTGTACCCATAGGCAATGGCATGAAGCAGTTGACAACGTCCTTTTAGGAATGATAATTGACCCTCTTTCCCACAGAGTTCTACGGCTTTTGCAGAGTATTCAATGGCTGAAAATTAATAATTTCAGTTTTTATTTTAATAAAAAATCATTCTAACCTGGCTCATAATTGGCGAAGCGCTCAATCAAGACTTGTGAAATCATCATATACTCACTGATAACCGACAACGCGCACGACGGGTTATTGGTCAGCTTCAGTGAGGAAAACATGTCAGAATCGGGAGAATTCGGTCTGGGATGAGCTCTCGG